AGGTAATTTACTTTCTCTTCGCACTTGAAAAGTTTCAATGTTTGTTCGAACTGATTAGTGAGTCTTTGTACTTGTGTAACCTTTATTTATGCGGGTTTTTGTATCGCGCCACTTGCTGAATGAAAATGATGTAAACATGCTCGAGACAATCGAAACTCGGCATTTCAGTACTTCAAACTACATCAGATCAGTAGTCGGAGAAGTCCATCTTCTAAATCTAATAAATGAGCTATTACTATTTCTGTCTATATATTTAATATTTGACATAAGTATTCATGGGCGAAAAAATAAAACCTGTGTAACCAAAACTTTGTTTACCAATTTCACCCGACGTAATTGCTTCCTTCGTATGGAAGAATTTGTTCATTGTTCTAAAGATAAGATCACGTGCAAAACTGACTTGCATTTTTGTGAACTGTGATGAAAACAAGAAAATCTTTGCGTGTTGCTTCCCTCTCTGCCTCTTCTGTCGTAGTCTACTGTCTGAAGTGCAATCTTAACGTTCTATATTTGCACGACTCAACCCAGGGCTACGAACAAAGGACAACGCTCGTCCAGCCGTAGTTCGTAGTCCGTAGTCTCCGTATCTTAAACTCCCTATTGTATGAGCTCAAGACAACTTAACGTGGGATCAGGCTCGGGTCTGTGGTAGGGAAAAAAAGGCAAAAAATGGGCAAAACATCTTCCCTTTTTTCTCCCCCGCCCTAGGGCCCGGCCAGAGCGTCGAGATGTTTTTCCGTCATTCTTTGCAAAACGCCATGTTTTGGCTGACTAACCGAGCTATCTACCATCTTTGCCACGAATGTCACTTCACGATGTCTCCTTTGAGCATCGTTTGGGTTAAAAATATTCAGCATTTATCACTCGACGTGGATCTGCACCCTGAGAAATGTCCACACCATAAAGCAGGTTAGTCGTTACCCTTCAGCCATGTTTTCTGCCCTTAAGAAGTGGGTTAAGGGCGGCAATGAGGATTTTAAGATCAGAACTCCTCTGGAAGTACGAGCCATGGGCCAGGCCTTACAGCGAACGTTCGCTCGTGGCGTACAGTATAACAGTAAGTTTTGCGGTTTCTTTTCGTAACGTAATATCCCCAGAGGTAATTTTGGTTCAAAACGGACCCAACCGATTTTATTTAATTCCCCTTATAAACGCTAAAATTAGAGAACAATAGCTCTATTTTATTAACAACGATACAATACTCTATCAATGTAAAAAGTGCCAGCGAAAACGAATTTTGAGCTGTGTCCGCGATTTTGGGATTTTGTCCGATTCTTAGTGACATTGACTCTTAAAACATCTGAACAGAACATCTTAGACTTTTAATGATAATTTTTTAAAAAAGATTTATACTCTTAGAATAACTACTCTTCCCTAACAGGAAATTGCCCAATATTCAAGAGAATGTAACCTAGCCGAGTGTACATGTAGCTCAGTTGAGCCGCTGCGATGTATTTGAAATTGCCTTTATTGCATATAGAAGCATCAGTAGACTTTAAAAAGGCGTATGCGCATTTCTTAGTCCTTATTTCACGATCCTTACGTTGACTGCGTTAAGAGGAGGTCACCCGGATTTCTTTATGGCAATTTATTCTCAAGAAAAATCGTTCCATCAAGGAGGGAGGGGGCTTCATCAAGGCGGATAGTTGAGCCCACAAGCAAGTATGACGTCAAATCTTGTTTTAATGACTTTCAAAATGGCGACGAACGCTTAAACGCATTTTGACTAAAACAGCAACAGAATTCCCGAATGTTTATCTGAGCCTCGCAGGGGTCCAATAACATGAAACTCTTTTAAAAACGGCTTCGCGCTTCGCTGTTTTTGCATTTCTTAGAGACTTCAACATATGTTATAGTCTGCACAATTCCATGGAGCGCAGCAAGGTTAGAACTTCTGTGTAGGTCGTGGAGGGGGAAGGAGAGGGGCCGGTTAAAGTGAAAGAAGGGCTGATTCGAATGCGTAAAGGTTTAGGGTACCACGGGGATTGGGAGTATGATATGCTCCTCGGGAAAATTTCAAATTAAAGTGTTCTGAATGGCTAAAAAAATTAATAGACTATCATCCCAATAAAGAAGAATGTTCAGTAATCCAGCATGAAACAATATGCTCTTTTTGAAGTAGAAAGTTACTTGTTCCCAGAGTTAAGTAAATTTATTAGTTAGCCAAACTCTTTCTTTAAGTCAGGTACGATTATAAGAGATACTGGCATTAGAAAACAAATAACTCGAGGATGAGTAAAGTCGGACGAGATCGAGGGCGCTTTTTTGAGGGAGCTAGGGGAATCTCATGCCGTTGTGGTCCTTGACTTCTTTACTTTCTTTGTAAATTTTTCTTCGGTCATCACCGAGAAGTTGGCTCTATCTGCCGTTTGCCATCACAGACGATTCTTGGATTAAACATATTACGTTACAAGAGGTTTTGGGATTGGTGATTGCTCGAGATTCAATTGTGTTTTGCAATCTTCTTTCCTGTTTATAATTCTATCTGGACTTCAAATCCAAAAGTTGGCTCTTGGTCTTGGAGGGAGCCATATTCATCTCTTATGGTTTTAGTTTTCTGGGTTGCGTTTCATTAACTGTCTAATACATAAACAAGTAATTGTGGGAAAGCACGTATTTTTCATTTTGTCTCTCAAACCAGAGAAATCTGCAAGATGGGTGTAGCATTCCCCCTTAACCTTGTACACCCACAGGCTGGTCAAAGGTCAAACATTGGGCTAACTGCAATGGTCACGTCATTAAGATGATGTTTATTACTTTAGTTATTTCTGGTATTTTTCAAAATTATAATTACTGCAGCCATAAACTAAAACAGCTCCTTATAGATACAAGGATTGCTAAAATTTGCCTCTTAAATTACTTTTGTAACTGCTGATGGTTATCATACCGAGAAAACACCTGTGAAAAAAAAAGGAAAACAGATTTGAAAGTTGTCGAAAATTGTGTTTATCGTATTTTGGGTAACTTTCACAAAGTAAAATGACTAAAATCATCGTGATAATAAATGACGAAAGGGGTTTAAAATACTTTAACTGCAAAGAAGAGTTCGTTTTAAAAACGTCGAAACTAAGGTCATCTAATTAACTGACCACATGGGCTCTGAGTGGCAGAGCCCCTTCCCCCGAAATCAAGGATGGCAGAATGGGAGTTTTCGTTTTCGCGCGGTTTTCCTTTCAAGAGGGTGATAAAATCTCTGTAGCTTCGCTGAAGCCATTGTGGTAACAATCCTTAAAGAAATTTAAAGCTATGGTAACTAAATTGATTATCATTTGTTAACTTACTTTAAGGAATTGACTTCCTTTGTTCTCTATGAATTAATTGCACTTCAACAAGTTAAGGTGAAAACCGAGCACACTGAAAGAGTACGCTTAATAATTGGCAAAATCACAGTGCATCCACCATTTCTTACCTTAGTTGTGATTATGGAGTAGCTTGAAACACTTCTCAAGGAAAGCCAAAATGACTGTAAACACACTTGAACGGAAACACGGACAAAGATCTCTTGTTTCCATATCCAAAGGGTACCACCACCTTGTTATGGAAGAATACTCTGTACCCGATGTTCCTGGTCAAACATGCAAGATAAAAATTCAGAGCTCCATAGTTGTCAACAGGAATCCGTGTTAAAAATAACAAATGTATTTCTCTCACAACTATGCCACCCGTACGTAATATCAAAGTTCCTAAAACGTTTGGAAAATATAAACTTCATTTTAGGGCAAAAAACCTCCGGAAGCTTCAGAGCGTTTTTGCCAGTTGTGTAGCAGGTTATTAAACTATCATGTCCACTGTCATGTCTACATCTAACAAAATAAGATTTTTTTGATATATAATATATTTAACAGCGCTGAAATTAAAAGGGGACTTGTTGCTCACTAATTACCAATAATTACGTCATTGATCGGTATTTTCAGAGTTCATTTTTACCTTCGAACTGTTCCGCAGCCTTTCAGAGGAGCCTTTATTATAACACTCTTCTTGGTCAAATAATTCACACCACAGCTGGGATCGTTAAGATGAAGTAGACGGGGATCCGATCCCAAGGGCAAACTGTCACGTGCTATGTGAGCCACCATGGCAGAGGGGAAGCATGAAATAGAAAAGGCAAACCTGGGTCCTACGAGTAAAAGAGTGATAAACAAGAAAAAAAAATCACTAATCCATGAAATCGTCGTTGTAAATCGTCTCGTGTAATTATCACCTTAATTACAGGTTTAACTTATTTCTCAAATGTATTATTTTAAGAATAAAATGCTAAAATAAATATTTCAGTATGTTGACGTCGTTGTTAACTGGGTATCTGAGGGGATCAAAATTCAAAGTGAAGGTTCTATAACGTCATATGACGTCAGAATCCAGTTTTCAGTGATTCACGTAACACTCTTAGCTTAAGCTTTGGGTGCTTTTAGCTTATCCTAGGGAGCCTTTTTTTGCGTCATTTTCGCTGTCTTCGTTTTCATATTTGCTTCAGATTCCTAACATATTAAACAAGGCACTTTAGATCTGTCAGAGGATTATTCTTTTTTCTGCTTGACCAATAATTTGTATGAGTTTTAGATACTTACTCGTTGGTGAAGGCCGAGTGGTGGGCATTGCTAAAAAAATTCGAAAAAGTAGAAATGAATTAAAATTTTGTGCATTATACTACTACATGAGAAATTTGTGCAATTTGATTGGCTTAGAGGAGCGGTATTTCACCTTAATTTGAAATACCTACATGTGAAAATTACAAACCTTTTGCTGGTAGTAGCATAAACAATTAATAGCATGATTTCTACGTGATATTTGGCATAAATACCACTCGTGATATTTCAAAATTGTCTCAAATTTCACTCGCTTAACGGCTCATGAAATTACGTATAACAATTTTGAAATATCACTCGTGGTATTTATGCCAAATATCACTACAAATCATGCTATTACCTATACTAATACAATAAACTAATTGTAATATAAGCACAAACATGTTATTAGCACAAGGTTTAATTCGCAGAGTTTTGGGTGTGGCTAAGTTAATGGGATATGTTTGAAACGTCAATAGGAGAATAATGAGTTTGACATCAAAACATCTAATTGTTAGCTACAATGTGTTTAGAGAGGTCGACAGTACATTTAAATGTCACCAGGGAATGTTATTCGTTGAAAGCCAGCAAGAATAACCTTCGCCAAGAATGTGCGGAGGTCTAAGGAATTATACTTCCGTTTAATTACAACCTCTAAAAATAACTTTACTTAAATGCCCTGAGATTCCTTCTCTGTCCAATTATACTCTCTTGTCTTCACCAAATTGAATGCTAAATTAATCGGCATTGTTTTCATTTCCGCTTGACTGAATTAATATGATTTTACTTACTCCATGGTGGAGGCCAAAAGGTGGGCATTGCTGAAAAAAAAATAGATAAGGTAGAGCTGAATTAAAAATTGTTCATTTAAAACAGTGACCTAATTGTAATGGCACAATATATAGATTTAACCAAGGCTAACGACAAAGCTCTTGCACTTGGAATTGAATACTCGTAACTTGCCAGCGGATAACTTCGTAAAAACACGTAACCTCGATGGGTCGACACCTCTGCGGGCGAAAAGGTCATCTGATACTGGTCAGTGCATACTCTGTTTTGACAGCAGTCAATTGACCACAACACGGATGTACAATATCAGGTTGCAGGCCCTCACACCAGCGAGAAAGTGTGAGATTTCACATTGTTGCCCTGTGGTGTGGGCGGACGGGTGGATGGAGTGACGATCGAACTGTCACGTGACTACCAAAATTTCTCGGACTGGATTGATAACCAAATTTGCTTTGCTCGCGCGCGCGTGGGACTCCACAATGATTTTACTCACTCGATGCTAAAGGCCAACCGGTGGGAGTTGCTGAAAACATTAGAGAAAAAAGAACTGATTTAACATTTTGTATTTAATACAATAAATATAGTTTAATAAGCACAAGCGTGTTATTAGCATATTTTGGAGTGTGACTAAGCTAAAAGGTCCTGTAACTCGAACCCTTGAAGCCTTAAATCCCTACAGGTTCATTCTTCACCTGCACCTGCAAATGAAATCCAGCGTTCATATGGGGAAAATAGACCAATATCACGTTACAAATGAAACGTTAACAGGAGAGTCATTGGTTTGACATTTAATAATCTTAGGTTAGACAGGCCGACTGCACATGTTAAAGTTACCTGTGCTTCCGTTTTCCTATTATTCGCTTAAGTTTCAGCAAAGAATAATTTTAACACCAATTTTTTTTCTTCGTCATGGTTTCACTTACAAAAAGTGTCCTCTCACAAAATGATCTGCAATTCTAAAATAATGTACCTGTGAAGCATGTTTTATTGCACAAACTTGCAATTACCTGCTGTAGGTGAGACTGAACTTGCAGAAGGTAAAGGGATTGAATAGTCTGTTAAAACAAGAACAAATCCTCATCAGTGATCAGGTTATGATTCTCTACTATGAAAATTTAAATTGGAAATCTGAAATCTCACATGTCGCCAATAAAGTTTCTAAATGCACAGGAATTATTCGTAAATCCAGTTTCTATTTATCCACGAAAACCTTACGAACACTATATTTTTCTCTAGTCTATCCATACCTTTTTTATTGCAACTTAGTTTGGGCCTCTACTTACAGAACTAACCTTATTCGTCTTGAGATTTTACAGAAACGAGTGATCAGAACTATAGCTAAAACAACTTTCGATGCACATACTGATCCAATCTTTCAAAATCTTGGTATCTTAAAATTTCATGATATATACTTAATACAACTAGGCTTATTCATGTACTCCTATCAAAACCATACTCTACCTTTAAAATTTCATTGTAAATTTACCTTACAAAGTCAAATTCATTCGTATAATACAAGAAACTCGTGTAAATTTCGTCTGCCTTTCTGTCGTACTCGAACCAAACAATTTTCCGTTTTTTATCAAGGACCTAAATTTTACAACACCTTAAACACCAACATCATCAACGCTTCCTCACCTTTCTCCTTTAAAAGAGCACTTAAGGCATTTATTTGTAATAATTATTAGTATACTCCAACAAAAATTTTGGGAAAAAGCCTTTTAATATTCAACATTTGTAAACTTCCGTAATATTGATTAGTTTAATTTTTCACCTCATATTATGTTGTATCCGTCGCCGTAATTTTTATACTATCTTCGAAAAATTATAATTGAGGAGGCCTAATTAACATAAGCTCTATAGTTTCTTTTAGGCCTCCTCGCCATCTCTTCCTACATTTTTTTCTTTTGGCATCTTTTTGTAATTATCGTAATCGTGTGGCAAATAAATAAAATACCTAATACCTAATACCTACTGAAGTCAAAGTGTGGAACTGAAGGCCGAAGTGCCTTTTTTCACTTTTTCGTGCTTGATATGTGCTCTAAACTTATATTTTGCTCAAAATTGCCCAGAACGGCTAAAAATTGCTCAAGGTTGCTAGAACCGGCAAAAAATTGCTCAAAGGGTTCAGAGCACAATCAGGACAGGCATAGTTTTAACTACTTCGGTCGTTCCATGTTCGGCGAATAGCCAATTAAGTTGTTCACCATAAATAAATATTATACTTACTCGAGCAGACCACAGATGCATCCTCACTGTGACCACAGTCATGAACACCCCATGAAGGGTGCCGACAATTCCCAATGGAACTTTCATATCCCTGACACTGAACATTGTCCAGCCAAATCTTTCCACTTCCTTGGCCAAACCGTGCCCTGTGTGGAGCACTGACAGCAGAAGGATACCCAAGTTGACGACAGACAACTCGCGCATCATTTATATCCCAGCCATCATCACAAACAGTTCCCCAGCTACCTCGGTAATAGATCTCCACTCTGCCCTCTCCAGGCCACCCTCCTCCAACCAATCTCACACCTGATGTATAAAAAGTTGCGTTTTATTTACTGAGTTTAGGGAAGTAAATTGACGCCCTTCAAGAGATTCTACTCACGATAAAAGATAACAATGAATGAGCCTACCTATGAGTACTGCAAGTTTATGCATAGTTATATTTTTGCTTCTCATTACCTGAATACACCATAGGTCAAATGAGAGAAAGTCCCATAAAGACCTTCATGACTGAATATAAGCTACTAGGCCGGTAATCTCTGCAAATGTTTCAGTTGTACATACACGACCAAATCAAGTCAAGCCATTTTTTGAAGCACTTTATGGCGCGATACATATTCAACGTCAAAATGCTTCGTGTCTTAACGGTGACGCTCGATTTCATCTCAGTCTCCCCAGCTCCAAGTCCCTCTTCGGGTCACTAGTTGGGGTTGTTCTTAGTTGTCGCGAGTTCATCTCTCCGGTCTTGTTAACGTTTAAAACTACTTTACAATAAGAGTAAGTAGGAGCCCATCGAGTAAGTTATTATAAAAGTAGTTTTGCTTATTCTTACCACCATATACAGGAAGCGAAACAGAAGATACTGGAAATTGTGTAGAGGCTGCAATTAAATTTTAAAACATTGCATTTGAGTTTAGCATCATTAACTTTGTTTGTCTGTACAACCCTTAACATTTATACACCACAACCTAAAACCACCGGCTCTATCAGTATTTGTGTTACCCAATAAAGTTTGACTATTATTAACCAGTTACATTTGTTCTTGCGTTTTTGGACCAGATTAAAACCATTATTGCCTGATTCGGTTTTTGTAATATCCGGAATAATCAGCCTTGGCTAATACCAATTTTCGACTCCTTGATTACTTCTTTTATTACAACAACCGAATCCAATAATTTTTTTTTTCAGATTCTAAATTGTTTTGAAGAAAATGACGACAAACACACCGTTGCATGGAAGATAATTTGTCATTGCCGGTTTGGAAATCATGCGTTGCGCGATTAGCCCAGACTCTCTAATCTGTAAGTAGATTGCGATGATTTTCAAAATTAAATGTAGGCTCTTAGCCAATGGGAAGATAGATAGTGAGTGCAATGTAATATAAACAAACTTGTTTACATGACACCGGGGTGACTTTCGCAGCAGCGCGAGTTCACTCCGGTTCCCTCTTGTGCTTCTGTATTTGCTTATATGAGACCACCACAAAATGTGACGACGGCGCGAGTCACACCGGCTTGAGTTCACATCGCTTGTTGTACCGGAGCGAGAATTTCACTCCGGTACGAAATTTGTCAACGGTATCATGTAAACGCAGCAACGCGGAACGACCACTCGTGTCGGTGTGAAATCGGTCTACCGCTAGATTGGGACGGGTAGCGTATGCGTAATATTTGCGATTTTAAATCAAAATGAAGTCTACCTTCATATAAAGGCGATATGAAATGGCCCATTCATCCTGTAAACGCGATACGGAAATAAAGAAGTCATTCCGGGGTGAATCTCGTGCTGGTGCGAGTTTTAATTCTCATGTAAACACCCCCTTAACTAATGAATACCTGGCGAAGCTGTAATGATACTTGGGGCTGGACTTGTTGATAGGGCTAGAGGAACAAAAAAACACCAACAATGCATTAAAGTTTCGTTCCCTAAAGTGACCTTATTTTAGTTAAGTAATTATGTGCGTCCAGGTCTTTGCATTTGGTTAAGTCTGAGACTTCCTTGTTTTTAAAATCCAGCTTTCCAGACTCTTACTACCATGGCTGCTACCTGGTTATTTTTTTATTTTCATATAATTCCTGATAGTTTGCGGCCGACAAGGGAGTAACCAATCGGCGACACCCAGTTCAGGTTATGACCTGATTTCTCTCCCATGGACGCGAGGTAGCTTGCTCGTGTGACCAGAGGTCCGTTTCAGGAGCTTGATCAAATCGTGACCTCCAGAGACCTATAAGGAAGTACCCCCCCCCCCTCCCCGGGAGGGTACACTTTCACAAAAAGTAGTTATATTCTCATACAGACGCTCTCATTTTACGCTTGCTTGCCAATCTGTAAAGACCGCACTTAATAACCATAAACTGACTGGGTCAGCTGAAGAAAACCAACTTTCAACAATTTAAATGTAAAAAACTAACGAAATAATGTCCCGACGTTTCGGCGGCTTCATTGCGTCATTATCAAGGAATGGAAATGATAAATTTCCTGTATCCTTCGCCACCGTTTCAAACAAATCAGTCTCATTTGTTGTTAGGTGTTTTTCTTAAGCAACATCCTCTCGATGAGATTCATATTTTTAGACAAACTTCTCTATCTAATCAAGAAAGAATCACTACGTACCGTTCGCAGTTGCAACTATTTTTACTACACTAATATGATGCATATGTTAAAAATGGTAATGATGATCTCTGATAATAGAAAATTCTAGTTGTTTTTGAACAATAAAACAGCAAGGATCATTAAAAAGAGGAAGAGATTCTACAAAAGAAGTTTTAATTGAAGCTTTCCGATAAACTCGTATTAGTAGTTGTGTGTTGTTAACAAATATATGGAGGATATTACATGGCCGCGCGGAGATACGAAATTTCTCTTCGAGTGTTGAAAAATATTTCACGAGTGAGCGCAGCGAACGAGTGAAATATTTTTTAACACTTGAAGAGAAATTTCGTATCTCCAAGCGGTCATGTAATGTTCTATTTATTATATAAATACCAATGAAATACCAAACCATTTCACTGAAACAGTTTTTTCCTGCGAAAGGCGCGATTTATTATGTAGCCATAGCAACGGTGATATTTTCATGAAGATATCATGTTTTCGCGCAAAAGCTCACCTGGTATTTCATTAGTGCTGTTTAAATTAAAATAACTCTGGTGCACCAAACTGGGAAGAGAAAATTATATTTACCTGTGGACGGGGGAGTTACCGAAGATACAGAGGCTAGAAAATGAATAAATAGATAAATGAATTATTTAAAAGACAATGATCGAACGTCAAATCATAACCATACACCCAACACAACGTTCTGTTCAACATATTTCCCCAATTCTGATTGGCTAAAAGCACACGCATAATTCACCATAACCAGTTACTGATGACCAAATCTGAAATAATTTTGTGTTTAACGACTGGCAGGCAATGACGTCAAAAATGCAGCCCGCTACAGGTTAAGTAGGTTGAGTTGTTTTGCTTGTGACAAAAAAAGGCGGACATTTCACTCGCTTCAAGGGTAAGAACTACAGCCGGAAATAGGCGAAACAATAGCTAAAAACATTGCAAAAACAGCAAGAAGACAACTCGGAGGGCGACGTCTACTATTTGGAGAATATTTGCGGAGCTGGACAAACCGAAACGTACACTATCAGGGGTGATGAATGGTCCATTAAAATTTTTAACTGCTCACAAAATTTTACCTTTGCTCGATTTGCTCGCAAAATTTAAACGAGTGCTCGCTTGCTCGTGCTCCCCAAATTTTTGCAGTTGCTCGCATGCTCGCTCTCTTGTCAGTATTGCTCGAAATTTTGTAAATCTTTCTTTGGGTTAAAGTAAATGTAATTCTGTATGGTGCTTAATTTGTATAAATATGGCTATCAAGTTCAGTGGAAATACACGCGATAAATGAAAACGGTAAATAATAAATTAGCTAATCTAGCTATATATGGTTTAATCATATCAGTCTCTACCGCTCTCACTGAGCTTTAATTAGGCCGTGTTTTCAATAAAAACGGTTTGGAAGCTTTAGGATTCTTCCAGAAGAGGTTGTTCTTCTTTGAGTTGAAATGCTCGATGAGAAGAGTCACCAAGGCTTTCACATTTACCTTGCTCACGTAATCTCAATGTAAAGCTTCTATTTCACGTTGAATTCGTTTTAAAGCCTCCAGGGTCATTCTTGTTCCCGAAATAGTCTCGGAGGATGGAACATCATGAAGGCCTTCTACAGACGTTCTACGACCGTTTTAAAGAAACCGTTATAAAATATTTTCTGTTTTGTTTAAAAAAAAGGATTTCCATATGGATTGCTGCAAGCGGAAAATATAAGAAGTGCTCGCTGCTTGCGAGTTGTACTGTCTAAGCTGTTCGCTGCTCGCAAAGCAAATTTTTTATCTCTCCTCGTGCACGCAAAAAAAATCGCAATGCTCGCAAAGACCATTCGTCACCCCAACTATCGAAGATGAACTTAGCATCGATGCAGGTAAGCATGTTTTAGCTATGTTTTTAAACTAGGAATTATTTTGAATGAATAATAAAGCAATTAATGAATTCGGCTTTCGTAGGATATGAAGAATTAAGCAGATCTCGGAGGCTGTTATCCGATAACACCCTCCTCGATCTGGTTAATTCTTTATATCCTACTCAGCCTCGTTCATTAATTGCTAAATAATTCATAACGGAAGAAAATGCAAAAGAACTACCTTATTCTCCTTAATTTTCGCGGGTTCTTAAATTCGCGATTTTCGCGATTTTAAAAAATTCGCGAACTTAAAGACCCGCGAAAAATAACGACCGCGAACTTTGATCTCGCGAAATTTAATGGACATAGAAAATCATGTATTTGTGTTTTCAAGGGTCCTAAACAATTTTTAACACAAGGTGTTACTACAAGCAGCTATCATGTATCAACTTTAGATGTTGATGTTTAAAATTTTTAAAATTTTTTAAACTAAACTAGTGAGCAGCACTCTGCGAACTGTTGCTGTGAAACTTATTTGTTACTTATTTTAGCTAAAACCGTGGCCCCAAAGTTTTCTCACGCCTTGCGTGAAAATTTCACAGCTGCGCCTGTTCCTTTTCGTAAATCCGGCAAAAAACCTTCAAGGTTTGTGACTATCATTATTTTTAGTCATATTATGGCGTAAATACAGGCATTTAGTACTTGATTGTAAAACTCCCTGAAGAAGTCTACGATAGTTAGACGAAACGCGTAGGAGAATAAACAAGTTTTACAGCAACAGTTCGCAGAGTGCTGCTCACTAGTTTAGTTTCAAAAATTTTAAAAATTGTCACATCGCTAAAGGGTGGGAAAAGGCTGGCATCGCCCAACTATTAGATGAATCGTTTAGTCTTCCCCCTGAGGATCCATTTGAAGAGATTGAAGGTTGTATTGAGATCTCTTAGGAAGGACATGTAACGATACTCTCGATACTCGATAATGACTCGGAAGAACAAGAAGACTTTTTTCATTACTGTAAGACTGACTTTTAGAGGAATACGGCTGCCGCTAAGGGACAGCATATTGGTTTTGTTTCAATTGTTGATTAACGTACAATTTTTGTAAAAAAGAAAAAATAAAGTCACTTAATCGTCAATTTCGCGAAATTAAATTCCCTGCAAACACAATTTTTCTCCGCAATCGCGAAATTAAAGACTCGCGAAATGTGCCGAGAAAATTTTCGCGAAATTTAAGTCCCGCGAAAATAAAGGAGAATAGGGTAACAGAATTAATGTACAGTTCCAGTTGAAGTAAATGGTGCAAGAACTCTTTGGATAACAGCTACAGAGAAAGCAAAGAAAAAAACTTACTTTGATTGTGAGCGCAGTACCGCAGATAACACTGAGTAGGCTTAACTAACCGATACACATAGTAAGCGCCACAGTTTTGGATCTGAATATCGTTTTTCCAGTTGCAACAGTTGGAACCCCAATGGTAACAAACTCGACGAGTGACAACGCCTTCTCTTACTGATGGGTGTGAACCGTTAAGCCAACCCGGCGCATGCGTACCACAACGCCGTGTTGGTACACAGAATGTTGGCATTCTGATGCCAGCTGCGCCTTTGAAACGATACCAGTCGGTATAACCACCCGTGATCAGGTCTTTCTGGTCACATCTCAAGTTCTTTTGATCAGTATTTGCCACATTACGGTCAGAACTCTCAAGAACGAAATAGCGGCTGCATGAACGTGCTAAAAAGGAGAAGTGATGAAGATTTTTATTCACTTGATGGAGAAAGCAGGAAGACTTGTATTTCAATTAATACATGTTATTGTAAATAACAAAGATTTTTTTTAAAAAATTAATCAGCAAAGCATAAAACGAATGAACTAAAAAAACAAATTATGCCAGAATACTTTTTAACTTTTTATTTTTTAAAAAAAATAGTTAAAGAAGCGATTCTAGAGCAAGTTCGGCCCTCAATTTTTGTTTGTTAGTACTTTAAGTCTGCCATTACCTTTTCCTTTAAAAAGCTACCCACTTCCCTTGGTGCTAGAGGTTTAGTTTTTTCTAACCTTATTCCCTATAGTTCGCGGCCGAAATGGGAGTAACTAAGCGGCGACACTCAGTTCAGATTCTGAACTGATTTCTAGCATGGAAACGAGATTGCTTACTCGAGTGACCAGAGTTCCATTTCGGGAGCCTAATCAAACTGTGAGCACCAGGCGTTTATTTTAACCTACTTATTCCGAGAACAGACCTCTGGAGCTAGGGTAGACTTTCACAAAAAATATTTATAATCTCATACAAACGCTCTAATTTAATTTTCATGCTTGCTTTCCACCCTGTCAAGATCGATCACAACTTAAAAGCCGTTACTGATAGGGTCAGCCAAGAGCCACTATGGCTCTTGGGTCAGCTGAAGAAAAACAATTTTCAACATGCACAATTATGAAGGGAAATATATGGGATAAAATCAGTGGTAGAAAAGCCTGTAGGCGCATTATTCTGAGCTGACTGATCATGAACGATGTGCACGTTCAGAATGATATCATGATTTCCTTAAGATGGAATAATATGTCTTCTGAGAGCTTTCACTGATTCAATATTCTGCTAAGGGTGTAAGTGGGGTTATCGCTCAGCTGTTATGGTCAAGCATTGATGGAACCTGATTTTTTTTGCCGTACGGAAATGACGAATATAACCATCAAGGAACGTCTTGCATTGGTTAAGTGAACATTGGCACGATTTGATATCAGACTCTCAGCCCGCAAGGCCCGTTTTCATACTAGTGTCACCCAAAAAACGCCAACTACGTTATGAAAACGTACCAAACTCAACGGTCCACCATACCACCCACTCCATGCAATTACAAATTAAATTCAAAGTGGACAGACTGCAAATTATAGTAGTTCCTAAAAAATATATCTTCGTGTTACAAATAGAACTTTAATTTGGGTTCTCAGGTATTTTATGGCAAATATTCTGTTTTGATAACAATTTATTACCGCATCCGTTATACAGAGATGTTGGACTGTATTGGTTACCCTATTACGTTGATGATTCATGTTTCTTGCTGATCAGAACTACGTTTCCGGTGGTTTCTCTGGCCCAGAGCACAAAGTGTTTCGTGGTTATGTGCCGCGGTGTAAGAAAATTCATAAGTTTCGGCCAAAGTGAAAAAGGCAATATAAGTTTCACTCTTAAAGTGAGTTATCTCAGTAAATCATGATATCTGACCTCCAACTTGTAAGTGCTTGTTAAGTGTGGCACGAAAACCGTTCTTTAAGGGAGTCGAATTAAACCAAAACGATGACTATACTCGAGGGTCAATATATAATTCATAATTGAAGAGAAAGCTAACTTTTGTTAGTTAATTACAGTTTTGTGCTATTCTTATCATTTTGAACAAAGGATCTCCTATGGTATTTGGAAAGAGAAGTTTCAGGGAATAGACATGCTTCCCTAAACAGTCCTCCGCAAACAGTGCTTTAACAAGTACCGCGGTGCTCTTTCGAATATCTGCCATATTTAAAGGCGTGGCTGCACCGATCGACTCACGCTGTCTTTTTCATTCCCGACTCGTGGAGCGTCATGATTCAGGGGAGATAAAAATAGGCATAGGCGATGTAAAGTGTGTTTGGTTTTAGATCACTCTCACAAAGAACGCGATTTGACTAACGGAAGGTTTGAGTAATGCCTTTCTTTAGAAGATGATCAAAATAAAGAGGGCGCAATAAGTTAAACTTGAAAGGAAAGGGAATGAAAGCGTACATCGTTGTTTCACATGCTGTTTTGAAAGAAAATGGTGGAAATCGGGAGAAACACGAGCCTTTAAAACAGTTTTAAATGCTTACCACGAACTATAACTTGCACTGCATCTCTAAACCCCGGCTGAGGGAGATTATTTCTGAGGAAAGATACCTCGATTGAGTAGATGAAATCTGGCTCGTTGGCCACGGCTCTTAACAGAATTAGTGTAGCTGGAACTATGGCATTGTAGTTTGAACGAAATTGAGGAAAAACAGTAAAAGCTCCTCCGTTCCTGTTGCTTGCAATAACTACTGGTGAATCACCAGCATCCCTTTGCCTTCGAAATGTGACACCTCGAAGAATTTCGGCCCCTTCAGAGGTTCCTTCAATCAGAAATTTCCAGACAAGGTGCACTAAAGAACGGCCTTCTTCCAGGATCGTTGGTTTCTCAGGCTGTTTTGTCCAACGGATTGCGTCTGCGGGAAAAAAAAATGCGTTATTTGATGTGCCAGAACTACCATCGACAATGAAGAAGTTATTCACTTGAGATAAATGAAGATTGCTTGAAAACTTAGCTAAACTTACCAGATCGCTGTAACGAGGTGACAATCCAAAAAGCGGTCAAAACCCAACGAGCAACACTCCAGTGAGGTGTATTCATATTCACTGAAATAATGTTCGTGATGTTTGTAAATTCATAAAAAGTTTAATTAATGTATTGAGCCTTGCCATACATGTGCAGTAGTAACTGTGAATGTTTGTCCCTCATTTAGAAGAAATCTATGCGGTAAAATATGCTTACTAGCTGCGACAATTCCTCGGGCTGCTTAGGTAGATATGAGTAACGAAGTATTCTCGCAGTTTCTCTTATACCCCGTAGTACTCTGTCGGTTATAAACATTTACGTGGTCGGTTGTACGCACTACTCTGTCGGTTGTGACATTAACTCTATCAGTTGTATTTACTACTATGTCTGTTGAACGAACTACTTTAGACGGTTGTAAATATTTACTCTGTCGGTTGGGCGCACTACTCTGCCGGTTGTGTACATTCTTCTGTAGGTTATGTACATTACTTTGTCAGTTGTACGCACTACTCTGTCAGTTGTACGCACTACTCGGTCGGTTGTACGCCCTACTCTGTCGGTTATGTGCATTACTCTGTCGGTCGTACGTACTACTCTGTCGGTTGCAAAGATTTACTCTGTCGGTTGTACGCACTACTTCGTCGGTTGTGTACATTACTCTGTCGGTTATGTACATTACTTTGTCGGTTGTGTACATTACTCTGTCGGTTATGTACATTACTTTGTCGGTTGTACGCACTACTCTGTCTGTTGTACGCACTAATCTGTCGGTTGTGTACATTCCTCTGTCGGTTATGTACATTACTTTGTCGGTTGTACGCACTACTCTGTCAGCTGTACGCACTACTCTGTCAGTTGTACGCACTACTCTGTCGGTTGTACGCCCTACTCTGTCGGTTATGTGCATTACTCTGTCGGTTGTACGTACTACCCTGTCGGTTGCAAAGATTTACTCTCTCGGTTGTACGCACTACTCCGTCGGTTGTGTACATTACTCTGTCGGTTATGTACATTACTTTGTCGGTTGTACGCACTACTCTGTCTGTTGTACGCACTAATCTGTCGATTGTGTACATTCCTTTGTCGGTTATGTACACTACTTTGTCGGTTGTACGCACTACTCTGTCGGTTGTGTACGTTACTCTGTCAGTTGTACGCACTACTCTGTCGGTTGTACGCCCTACTCTGTCGGTTATGTGCATTACTCTGTCGGTTGCAAAGATTTACTCTGTCGGTTGTACGCACTAATCTGTCGGTTGTGTACATTACTCTGTCGGTTATGTACATTACTTTGTCGGTTGTACGCACTACTCTGTTAGTTGTGTACATTACTCTGCCAGTTGTACGCACTACTCTGTCGGTTGTACGCACTACTGACTGTCAATGAGAATTTTGAAACAAATGGCGCAACACAGCAGCGTTGTTTTCAACTTTGATGTTTGCCGGCTTTCCTAATCAGTCTCCTCTACTAACTATGGTTTGAAATAATGCTTAGCTAATGATTGGGATATTTGTTTGGCATCAATTTCCATAGCGAATAAGGACGTGTAATTGGGCAGGCATTATATAAACAACAAGAACGCTCTTAGTAGCGTTGAGTCTCGCTTGCTTGGAGATGAGTTTTGATGTCAAAGGCCCCGGTGCCGTTATATTACATTTTCGTTTGGAATACAAAACGAGTGTTGTATGTCATAATGTATATACTCAAAAAGTAAAAATTGGAAGGAGAGACAGACTGCACATCTTAGCCTCAAACCGGTGTGAAACCTTTGAAAACCTTCTACATATTGATATTGCTCCATTGAGGAGTTCTCTTTCAGGGATTCTACACTCGGAAAATTGAACGATGATTTTTATCGGTATCAGGGGCCCATGGCTCTGTCAGTATAAATATACATAGCTTCTTTGTACCGGACCAAGATACGGCTCGGTACAGTATATGTTCAGCACAGGAAAAAAGTGTAAGTTGAACAGAACCTTATACAACACACAGTAAATTCAGTTCGCGCGTATTCCTGCTGAATTTGTTGTCCGTTTTATAAGATATCAATATCGCATGAAAGTAATGACATTTTCCATAGCTGCTTAGTATCTACTTTTAATATCTCCGTACGGTCTCAGAGTACAATGTTTAGAGTTGTACACAGCATGCATTTTA